TAGTAGCCAGGGGAGTCCCTGGGTTCCTAGCTTATTGCCAGAGCAGTGCTTTCCCGTTGAGCAGCCCGTAGCTAGTTTGTCGAGTCCCGGATCCGTTTCTATCCATAACTGTGAGGTCACGTCTGTTTCCGCATCTCGAGGTCAGCCACTTTCTTCAATAGGCTACAGTAGTCTTGACTCGGCCTTGCCGAGTACTGTTACATTTGGCTCGTTCTTGTCAGGGGACACAACGAGTAGGGGGTATCCTATACATCACAGCATGGGCCCACCCGTCCCGGATCATGTTGCTGGGGGTATGGGCATGCCAGTTCCAGCACCCACTGCATCTGTGTATTCTAGTGCAGTTAACTTGGGTAGTCAGGGCTCTGGCTACTATATATGGTGGGTTGGTAGGACAGTCGGCGGCACTAGGGGGAGGACAATCATTTGTACATAGAATAGGGGGTTGGTCCTGGGTACCTCAAGGTCGCACTTCAATGACTACTGCAGATACATCCTAATTTCCAAGTTTAATTCCTCCTGGTACTCGGAGTAGCGTAAGCAGGAATATTCCAGCTGAAATAAAGTGGATGAAGTATATGGGAGTGGGGACCATTTTATTCAAAGTTCTCTACAATCGCTGAATACCATCAGTGGGGTGACCCCGATCGTCTGTTTGCCCTAAGTTTGACATTGGAGGGGGTAGCGCTCAAGCACTTCGATATCCTGCGTTGCAGGAGGGGGGCTGTTAAGTTTCCGAGAAGTTGTCCTCCGGATGGAGGAGAGGTTTGGGAAAAGTTCCTTAAGGGCAGCCTCACAGCTGGAGTTCAGCTCGATAGCCCAAAAGCCAGAAGAAACAATGGAACAGTGAGCAGATAGAGTCATGGACACTGCCCAGAAGGCCTTTGGTGGCGGGACCGCGCCAGAAATATTCCAGGATCAGCTCATTGTTAAATTTGCTCTTGGCTGCAGTGATGGTGAGGCGGGTCAACAGTTGATCAACAATCCCCCATGTACTCTGGCGGAGGCAATAAAAAGAGTAAAACCTTACCAGTTAAGCCGCCGTGCAGTGGTTCGTTTTCCTCAGGGCGGGACCGTGAAGGGCGGAGAGATTCTCGCTCGCCCCCTGCTCAACGACGTAAGCTCTCGGACTCCGAGTGCCGAGATAAGTCAGAGGACCGGAAAACTGGTTCCAATCGCGACTCTAGGGAAAGAAGTAAGGGCCGTAGCCCAACTCGTAGACCTATGAGGGGAAATCAGCAAGTCAAGGGCGCTCAGAGTTTAGGGACAGTAGTTTGTTATGAATGCAAAGAACCGGGACACATACGGCGGAATTGTCCGCGTAGGAGCAACCCAGAGTCCCTGTGCTCGTGTCTGAAAAAATCTGCCGAGACTAGGTCTACGGAGCGTTCGTCTAGTGCTAATAGGGTGACCATTTCTGATACTTTAAATGTCAAGGCCACGTATGTTATTCCCTCTATAAGGTCAGGTAGTCAAAAGTACAGGCTCAGGTGCGTGGCGAATTCCTATACAGATAGGAGGCCAGCAAACTAAGGCGACTATTGATACTGCAGCTGACATCACGATAATCTCGGGGGAGGTGTACAAGTCATTGAGGCTGCAGCCCGAGATTGTGAGGGACACAAATGTAAGGTTCGCAGACGAGGGGGCTGGGATGACCGCCCAGTACCTCGGACGATTGAATCTTCGTATCGGGGATTATGATTTCGCCCACCCGATTTATGTTGGCCCCTAACAAGACGAAATGCTTTTGGGAATTGACTTCCTGCGTGCACGCGGTGCAGAAGTTTCCTGTGAAGCCGGTACATTAAGGGTCAAGGGCATTGATACGATTTTCGCCCTGAGTGTTGATGAGACAGTGCCAGAACTCTATGCGGTTTCAGTCCGCAGATTGCGGGTCCCTCCGCACACTACCCAAGTTATCGAGTGCACCCTTAGTTCCGATATGCCAGCATTTATGCTAGAACTTAACCAGCCAGTATATTTCCGCCTGATATAGTAGCTTCGCGGACATACAATGCCGCAGGAAACAAGGCCAAGCTATGTATCCTAAACCTGACCGACAGAAGTCATATAATCAAGACTGGTACTACAGTAGAGGAAGCAGCTCCTGCTATGTCTGTTAAAAGTACCGATCCCACAGTGCGCCGCATGTCAGCGGAGGGGGAGACTAGTTATAAAGATATAGCTCAACTCCTAGATCAGTAAGGGAAGAGTGCGCCTGTGGAGCTGAAGTCTCAGGCTGTGGAGCTAGTTAAAGAATTGCTGATGTCTTTGCTAAAGATGACCTTGACCTCGGAATTTTTTTCGAGATTAAACATCGGAAAGATACTGGCGATGCACTTCCCGTTAAACAGCGGATGCGCCGCACTCCTGCTGTGTTCCAGGGGGAGGAAGAGGGTCATCTAGACATTAGAGGCCGGAGTTATCCAGCCGTCTTCTTCAGACTGGGCGTCTGCCCCGGTCCTAGTCAGGAAGAAGGATAGTAGTGTCCGCTGGTGATACTACAGAGCCCTAAATAAGGTGACAGTCAAGGACACGTACCCCCTACCGCTCATGGACACGCTAGCGGGAAACCGCTGGTTTTCTAAACTGGATGCCTATTGGCAAATTAAAATAGCTCCGGAAGACCGGAAAAAGACCGCCTTTATTACCAAAATACGGACTATTTGAATTCACAAGAATGGGGTTCGGCCTGTGCAATGCCCCAGCGACCTTCGCCAGGGCCATCAATCTGGTATTGCACAGACTTAACTGGAAAATTGCATTAGCTTTTCTCGATGATGTCTTAGTATTGGGGGCTTCGGCACATGCTCACCTTGATAATCTGAGACAAGTGTTTGAGCGATTCCGAGCATATGGTCTTAGGTTTAAGCCTCGGAAATGCGAGTTATTTAAAACTGAAGTTGAGTTCCTAGGTAGAACCGTGTGCGAGGACGGAGTCGGGATGGGGGATCAGTACATTGAGGCAGTACGTGACTGGCCTGTTCCTCGCGATGTGAAGGGCGTTGAGCGTTTCTTAGGCTTCGCTAACTATCACCGTAGTTTCATTCCCCAGTTCTCGAGAATTGCGGCTCCGCTGTACGCGGTTACCGGAAAGAGTGGTTTCCGATGGGGGGCAGAACAACAAATTGCCTTCGAGGAACTCATCCAACTAATCACCAAACCCCCAGTACTTGCTATTCCGAACAGTACAGGACACTTCATTCTGGATACTGACGCCTTGGATCAAGCCGTAGTCGGGGAACTTAACCAAGTCCATAATGGAAGAGAGAGAACCATTGGGTATGGCAGCGCAGTGCTGTCATCTGAACAACGCAGGTAATGCACTACTAGAAAGGAGTTGCTGGCGGTAATCAAGTTTACTAGACAATTCCGCCATTACCTGCTGGGCAGAGAGTTCACAGTCCGGACAGACCACCATACCCTGGTCTGGCTGATGAACTTTAAGCATCCGCAGAATCAGATTGCTCGCTGGTTATAATTAGAAGAGCGGAGCCAGTACAATATGCGGATAGTCCATCGCCCAGGCAAGAAGCACGTGAATGCCGATGCGCTGTCCAGAGACCTACCAGAAACATGCCAGAGTTATTCTACTCAAAACAGAGTCGAAGATTTGCCATGTGGCGGATGCACATGAGCGCTGGCATGACTTTAATACCGAAATTGACGATGTAATTCCACTATTCCAGCTCTTTGAGGAATCGCCTTTGAGAGCGAAGAATCAGTCCGCTGAGGGGGTAATTATGAGATGTTAGATCCTACTCTCCGTCAGGCCATTGTGACAAGTACTTGGGAAGATGTTCCGTTGACAGCAGGTGCCCCTGAACTTCCGAGAGTTTTTGAAATCGCTGTCAATGGAGTGTCGAGTTAAAGTCCCCAGATTGAGGAAGTGAAGCCTCAAGTTTGTCAAGCATCTCAGGGTGACACTGCGGGAATTTCCCTATCATCTTGCAGTCCCTCATAAACAGAAATCAGATGAGGCCATGGTTTACCTGAGGCAGTACTTAGAGTTTAGGAGTTTACCTACCGAAATGACATGATTATCTGTAGTCCGGAAGAGAAATGTTATCTTCTGCAAAGAGACTGTTTTACACTGGACGAGACAGGTGTTATTTGGCGAGAACCGAAAGACTCGGACATGCCTCGTAGATTGTTAGTTTCTAGGGGACTTAGGTCCGAGGTCATGCACTTATGTCATGACATTCCGTCCTCCGGTCACGAGGGTATACAAAGAACTAAAGAGAAACTTAAACAACAGTTCTATTGGTGGCGGATGGTCAAGGACATTAAATTATATGACATTTGTGTCCAGAATAAGAGGGGTTCTTTGACGAATAAATCGGAAATGAAAAGCTACCAGGCCGGAAGCCCGATGGAGAGAGTGCACTTAGGCTTTCTTGGGCCTCTACCCCGAACAGATAGCGGAAATGAGTATATACTCATGATGGTAGATAACTTTACCAAGTGGGTTGAGTACATTCCGCTTCCGTCTCAAACAGCGGATGTCACGGCCAGGTCAGCCGTAAATGATTTCTTTTCGCGATTTGGATATCCTTATGAAATTTTTACAGATCAGGGCCGTAATTTTGAAAGTGGGCTTTTCTGTAAAATCTGTACAATGTTAGGTATTCATAAGGCCCAGACCACGCCATACAGACCTTCCAGGAATGGCCAAGTAGAACGGTACAACCGCACCTTAATGGATGCGGTCCGTAGCTACATTGATGGTCCGCCCAAGACATGGGATAGGTTTTTGGGTCCACTGGCTAGGGCATTGCGGTCGGCGGTGAATCGCCACACCGGATAAACTCCAAATCGTCTAATGCTGGGTAGAGAAGTTAACATACCAGCAACCTTGATGTGTTTTCCCACCCCCTTCGGAGTCTTTTCACAATGGGGAGGAGGGTGAGGTTGACAGGTATGTACGTGATCTGGAACAGAATGTGTAGAGCGCGCATGACATTGCCCGGAAGAAACTGAAGGTCGCACAGAAGGCAATGAAAAGGTCGCGCGACATTAAGATCCGTACTCGTAAGTTCAAGGTCGGAGATTTGGTGTATTGGCGCCGCAATGCGGGAAAGAAAGTTGAATCTATCTGGAAGGGTCCAGGTATCATAACCGAAGCCAAGTTCGACACAGTATTTGTTGTAAAGTCTCGGAGAGAAGTCAAGGTCATGCACCATGACAAGTTGAAAATGTGCAAGTCTAGACAACTCCCGAAATGGCTAGTATTATATAAAAGTAGGTTGTCTGGAGAATCCGCAGTCCGAGACCGAGTTAGTTCTCCTACGAGTGATGTAGCTCAGCCGCTGGGGGCAACGGGTTCAGGGGTAAGTCCTGGGGACCCAAGGAGTAAGGAAAAAACTAAAGTAGGCCCGCAGCCAGCGGAACAAGTAGGTCCATATCTGGGTACCCGGAAACGGGTAAGGGAAATGTCAAACCAACCAAATAAGCCCAGTACGCCCAAGAGACCTAAAGTCACTTAGGGGACTAAATCTATACAATATTGTGTGCCTTCAGTCGAATCCTAAAGATTTGATGGTCCAGTTTCATCCCAGGTGTGTGGGTATAAGTGAGGATTATGCTAAATCAATACCTCAATATACTTGCCCCGAATGCAGTCCCGTCAGTGTTAGCAATCCCTAGGTTAGGATTCCGCAAGGGTGCGGAACTATGTGTAGCTGTTTGCTAGCGTGATTGTACGAGGGCCGTTCAAAAATTACGCGGACTTGTTGCACAGAACACATATTTGACGACATAATCAAGCAAAAATTCATAAATAATATAAAAGAATCTTTTCATATATGAACATCAAAATTTCATATCAAAGTATTGTAAATTGGTATCAATTTCAAGTGATTAAACAGGACATCTCATGAAGTCACGGCGAAGTAAAACTTTCAACGTCACGGGCATTTTATAAAATGGGAGCTTTCATTTTCTCAATATTTTCCCTTAGTATTTGAGACTGTATAGTTTGGATTACCTTATCCACCCAGAATTAACATCCATATACCATATCCGATTCAGCTTAAAAACTTTTAAACTATTATGTGTTTTAGTTTGCGTTAAACCTCAAATTTGCAGATATTTCTGAAGTAAAGTTTAACGTCTGTCGATCTCAATCACATTCTCAACAGTCCAGATCAGTGTTTTGTTGATGAACTTCATCCATCCCTCCCGGATTGCCTTTTGATTAAGGTCTAGCAGTCTAATTTACCATTTGTAGAGATGTGTCAGAAATTCTGCTGGTTAACTACATGTTTCATTAGGATTATTTTGGGTCTCCATTGGTGTTTTCCCAGCATGATTCATGATTTGATAAAAGTGCACTGCTCCGTCAAATCACGAGACGTCATTTTTGCAGTTGATTTCGTAGGGGTTACATCGGAGAAAAATTACAGTATTTCTGTTAGTACTTCAACTATTGCGCCAGAAATCTAAATACTTAATAGAACAATAAAAAGAAATTTCACAGAGAATAGATTAATAATATCTTGAAATATGGAAAATAAATGAATAAAATTTTGGATACCGCATGTTTGTTTTTCAACATTTTTGCCGTGCTCCGTATATCACCATCAGCAGCATCAAAACGGCAATAATTTTATGAGATGTTAAATAAAATCAAAAAATTTTACCAAGAATTTATTGGAATTTTTATGAAATTATGTTCCTGTAGGAATTTCAATTCTATATGACGTCTGCAAGAGTAAATAATAGCAGAGTCCGCGTAATTTTTGAACAGCCCTCGTATATATGTTTGTTCTTACTGCTAGGGAAGCAGGTCTTTTTAAAGGGATATTGCCCTGATCTTACGATCGATCCACTTATCGCGATGTTCCTGAGATTTATGTAGCCCGATGTTCCAGGGACAATGAATTGGAGCCAGTTCCAGGATAGGTCGTTCGCGACGGAGTCGCGGACGTGATATCACGCTAGATATCATGTCTGTTCTGGGCTCGGATGTCCGGATCCGGAAGTGCCGACCGAGGATGTCACCGGAGGACCACCTGATGAGGAAGACAACGATGGGCCCGGAGATGGACCCGAGCGGACTCGGAAGAGGGATGCCCAGGACAAGACTGACGTGATGTATCCTGTGAACTGTGATATTATTAACTGTTAATTTTTATTAATTTTACATTTTTATTATGGACATTATTGTGTAATTGATTATGTACAATTGTTTTTAATGTGTTAGGCTAGGATTTAATTGTTATATTTTATGTACATTATAGTTTGTCCCATTGTAACGGGCTGGGACGCCCTTTTTCAAAATGGGGAGGAATGTAGTGGTCTGGAGGTGCTGGGCACGGATTGCCCTGCTACCTCAGATCACGTGGTACACGGCGCGCACCTGTTGTGACATATACTTATCCTCGCTCTCTTTTTCTGTTATCTGCTGCAGAGTACAGACGTGTCTCTGTCAGCTCCGTCATTATTGTAGTTGTACATTTATAAAGTATATAGCGGGCACTAATAAATCTCGGATTAATTTTATCATAGTGTTATCTCTATTCCGCCATCACTGTTCTTAGGTTATAAGTAGTATAAAGTAGAGAAACGCTATAACACCTTGTGAAAATCACTAAATCTAGAAATTTTCTTTGAAACACATGCATATGGTCCACGTATTGCAGTCCTTTTTTAAAGGACAGCAACTTGTATTTAATATAAAAGGGGATCATTATACAATATCATATAAAATCACTGGGGATTTGTAGATATTTTGAAATTGATTTGCTATTAGCTAAGGGACCTGTATAAACGATAAGAAGTCGACCCCCCCCCCTTCCAGTCAACCCCTCCGTTCCAGTCAACCCACATTTCGTTAGTTCTTGATCATACACAAATCCATTGATAAAAAAGTTCAATAAAAATTTATTTCGTGGGCGGGATATCTCAAAAAAACCGGATTATCTACAGTATATTTACATGTACATCAAGTACTACGCAGTACAGTTAAGGTGCCAAATGGAAATATCGGCGATTTTTTTTTAGATAGAAAATACATTGTTTACAAGGATGGGCGTTTCTTTTTAGGACTTTACTATTATCGGACAAATTGAAATTAGATGAAAACTACATGTTGAGGACAATTAGATTTCTTATTTAGAAGTGTCACGTGATGTGGCAGTCACGTGATTCTAGCAAATATACCTGAAGTATTGAGGTCATCTATAAATTCTAATATTGCAAGGGCGTAACCAAGTTAAAAATCTAAGTTTAACATATGATTATTTTCAACACTCTTCGTAGTTTGTGAAAAGTGCTGCGAACCTATATAGATTCTGCTATTTGATTGCTAAAATTACATTTGTTAGACAGTATGTTGAATATTTTGCTGGTCAAGTACATTAAATATAGATATAATTAACTCATTTGCAAGATTTCAACAGGTTCGCAGCACTTTTCAAATATCTTCATACTTCTTGAGTTTATGTGTAAAAGCTTGTCGTAATTCATTGAGGGTATGCCCTTGCAATATATCGATTTATTACGACCCTTCTATTACCCTTCAATGAATATGCATACAAATATACAACAGTATCGCTTGCCTAGGGAATGGACGGGAAGTATATGAAAAAAAATCATAAAATAGACATCGCATCCAAGTTAATTGCCTCTTATATATCTACAATTTATATTTCATTTAATTACAAAATATTTTTCATTGAATAAATATAACTTGATCCGCCTCTCACTGCATGCAAACTTTACAATATGACGTCACATTGACAAGTGCATTGCGATCAGTGAATTGTTTATATATTGCTGTGTGGGATTTAACCAACGACAATAATGCATGCACTAGTTAGTATTGATGTAGTTTAAAGCTATTCAACAGTTTTAAATAGCAGATCATTTCATTTTGTGGTAATTTGAAGAACTTATATTTTTGTGTGATGTCATAGTAAGCATTTCCCGTATAAATTAGGCCCCGCCTCCTTACTGCAGCCTTAACTGTGCTGCGTAACTATCATATTGTATTACATGTACAACTACTATATTAATGCTGCCTTGTGGAGAATTGTTGTGCCTTACACCTGATTAATCAGTAAAAATTTGTTTATAGTACACAAGACTTCAAACTAATGTTTTCCACAGTTTCACTCTTTATTATAATTTTTTTTTTATTGATTCATTTGTAAGATTTTTCTGATCTTTACAAATTATTGAGGGTGACGTCATAGTGGCTTGAAAACTCTCGATTTGCACACTAAATATGGGGTGTTGCTTAAACGCGGAACGGAACGGAAAATATGATGTGTCGTTTTTCACTTAGCTGCAATAATGTAGCCCTCTCCGATTTTTTTTAATCTGATATTTTTAGGAGAGAGCTACAATTCCACTGCATCTCCGTAATGGTGCAAATATATTTTTAGATACGGGCGACTGCAGGCAAAATAAGTTGTTTTTGCATTCAACTTACTTCCAATAAGACGGAATTTTTATTCACTATCAATATCATAGTATACGCGAAAACCAAGTAAAATAAATCTGCGTGTTTTCCAGTCTTTCTCCTCAGAAGCCATGACAGTTCTCGCGTGATGTACAGAGACTTGCGCTTGAAATTTAGAATCACTTGATAAAGTAAATGTCGGTGTTGATAAATGATTGTGTTGTAATGGTATCACTTAACATCGATAAATAAAAGCATTCCATGTGAATTTTTTTCATAAACAGTGATATTTATGCTTAAAATAAGGGAAATCCCAAACGATCCGCTCCCCTAGATCCCGAATTCTCATTGGTTGTCCCAAAATAAAATCGATCAAGGTCAGTTAACATGGCGGATAAATTCAAGTTGTGATGTTGACATACACGAAAAATAACCGATATACGGATTGTTCTGTATATTTTTGGATCAATTTATGTCTTGCAGAGCTACATTTCATGAATTCAGGTAAGATATGTTAATAAAATACCCACTTACTGATAATAAGGGTAGTGAATCACTCCCGCACTTGAACCATTACGGAGATCCTAAGGAGTTGTAGCCCTCCCCCCCCCCCCCCAAAAAAAAAGAAAATCGGAGAGGGCTACATTATTGCAGCTATTTTTCACTATGCACAGGTATAATTTAGACATAGGAAGCAATAGTCTTCAGCTAATACATGTAGTTCATATCTAATTAAAAGTTATTGTAACAATGTGATTTATTCAGATTTTCCCCTCAAAACATGTGGTATATACATGCAATGGTCAATAAAATGCACAATAATTAGACTCACATCCAAATTACGTATCAGAATGTCTCATTTATCACTCATTCAAATCTGAATTTAAAAAAATGACTTATTCGTCAAAGACAGAATCATCATTATTGATTATGAAAGGGAAAATGTTGTTTCGAAACAGGCGGAGTGAAAGAGAAACACAGAGTATATTATATTAATTTGTGTTAGAGACAACGATCACTGGCATAATAGAAATAGTGGAGATAACGAACAGTATTCGAGCTCAAAAGTCCATTAAACAT